GCAACCATTTTTAGTCTTTAAAAAAAATTACAATCTTTCCATCAGTACATATTTTCGAAGAGGAAATAAAAGTGAATTCTATCATCCATTGTAGTACATGCTCATTTTCCCCAAGGAAGTCCTTGTTGTCAACTCCCATGTCATTATTTACACATGCCTGTCTTCACTCATACAAATACAAAACTAAAGCCAAGGCCAAAATGACAGGAAAAGCTATTTTCAAAGTTTAGGATTCTCCTCTTTAAACGGTTCTTTCTTCCTCTTTTGTAATCAGGGAAATCAATAGCAACTATATGAGAGTTCACAGGGGTGACCTTCCAAGCAAACTGTTCCTTAAGTTATCCTGGAGAAAAAAAAAATGGCTGTGACTGCTCCTTGCTGAATCAATTAGAAGATGCCATTCAGCAATGTTCAGTAGATTAAAGCAATAAAAAATAATAAAGCAGCAGCCTAAAATGGAATCTGTTCTCCATTTACCTTTTTCTCCTGGTTGGCAGAACAAAAACTCAGAGCTGAAAATTTCAGAATTAAGGATAGTAAAATTCATTGTTCCACCCTTATGCCAAGCTTTATGGCTCCCAGGTGAGTTCTGGAAACTGCAGAAAGTCAGGTAACAAGATAAGATAGGTCTGAATGATTTAACTAACATAAAATGCTCTTCAGCACCCTTCTAGTCTTTAAAAAGAACTGAAAAGGAAACAGAATACCAATCTGGAGTGTTCTCTTGAGCAAACTGATCTGTTGAGACCTTGAGATAAAAATGAGCCAGAGCTGGAGGTCAGTCAAAGCAATGAGAGGCTTTCGATGAAAAAGTTCAAAATGATAACTGCCAAAGAAAGAGATTTCTGGGTCCCCTAAAGTAAAGTGACTTCAGAAAATAACTCAAATGCATTTGAATCTTCCATATTTGGATCATAATCTACGATGATTCAAAGGCATCATGAAAGAGAATTTACTGATACATTAAGGTTCCGTCCTCTCTGGCAAAGTGAAGTAAAAAAAAGGAGTCAACTGTTTAGGTAAAACAGCCTAAAATACCAAGATAATGGAGACCACAACTGGGCTTTACGTAATTCCACCTGACTGGACTCATCTGTATCCTTGAGCCTTGAGTCCTAGTGGAAACTGCTTGCCTATAAAAACACAGAGGAATTCAAACTAAATCATATCAGAAACATAGAAGCTATAGGCTGGAATTGTATGACAACTTCCAATACCATCTTTCCCTGACTTACCTCTAATGATACTTGTGGTTCCTGTCTTCAGTTGGACCTACTACATCCTGCAAAAAAATCATGCCCTCACTCAGCATCTATGCTTGAATATTTGTCAAGCATAGATGAGGAAACCTCATTCTTTCCTCCTAAAATATCTGCGCATAGTGTTACTAATCATTTGTGAAAAATCCATCACTTTTCGAGGAAGGAACATAATTAGAAAAGTAACAATTTCTTTATTTCTTTACAGCATCCAATTCATATCAGGTTTTCTTTGTATAGGCAAATGGAAAATATAAATCAAGTGTTTGTCTGAATACATTATTTGAAGTACACTTTACCTAGACCCTATTTTCATTTTGTGCTTTTTCTCTTCACTACACCTAAGGAAGTTCAGGAATGTCTATGATATGAAGGAAGGCTATCTCACACCTGAGATCTATTTTATGTGCAGTTCTTTCAATTAAATTTAATTCAATCTCAGAAAATTTTTTTTTTCCTAAAAGTACCTGAAAGACAATTGGCTTGAGACTTACAGATGACTTTGACTTCTAAGAAACCCCTCCAGTGTCCTTTTATGATTAAAAAGTCACAACAAAAACCCTAAAGTCAAGGAGATCATATTGTTCTACTTTCCAAACATGAGAAATATGAAAATACAAAGTATTTTCATCCAGCACTAACAGAAGAGGAAAACAAAATAAAACAAAAAGGAAATTCAGAGGCAACTGGTCACAGCTATATCTCAAACTAACACATAAATAAAAGGGTCGAGACACACACACATGCATACTCACAGGAATAAATTATTTATTCAGGAAAACATTAACTTCTGATCTTTTATTAAGACAACAATATGACGCTGGTTCAGGGATGAATTTTGAGCACTCAAACTGGTACTCTTGGGAATAACTAGAATTTCTACATAATGGTTATCCATGAGAACTTGTCATAATGGACTAGAAGCAAAGTCAAGAATAGTTACATTCTCTTCCAAAAGTTCCAAGCATAACAAACTGTGTTTTCATGATTGTTTGTTTTTTGTATTACACAAATCAATTTTATATTGAATATGGCCCGAAATTAAAGTGATAGCTAATTTAGTAGTCCTCCACTTGGTCTTGCAACTTTCCGCATGCATTGTCAAGTTTCACATTGCTAATTTTCCAACAAGCAGTTTTGTTTTCAAATGCCCCAAGGCCAGTTACTGAGTCCAAACACAAACTTTGTAAGTAAAGAAATTTCGAGCAGCAAGAAAATTTAAACATACAGCATCATCAGGATCCCAGGGTACACTGCATCTTCTCTAATTTTAGAGCTCTGTTCTCTTATATACTTACCAGTTTTTGCTATATATTTTCCATTATGATGAGCCTTGGTTTGCAGGAGAATTCCCAATTTATTAATCACAGAAGACTTCTCATCCCTACCCTGGTCAGTCTAGCAGGGTATGTTTATCTTACATGATATGAACAATGTAACTTTTTAAAAAAAAAAACTGCTTTTCAAAGTCCTAACAAAAATATGTTTTGTTGGAATACAATATATGTTTGACAAAAAATATGTTTGATAATCATGTTTATATAAGGTAAAAGCAAACTCAATAAATACTGATCTGAAACTGAAAATACCTTAAGTTTACTCATGCCATGAATAATTCATCAATGTCATTCATTATTTTGTGAAGTATTATCTTTTCCAAATGAAGCGTAATTTATAAAACTGAAGAACTATAACAGTCATGTTCTGAGTGAAAATATATATTCAGTTTTATTAGAAAAGGAACTTTTATAACAGAAGTGTGTGAAATAATTTTGTCTGGAAGAATGAAAGATTTCAGAGAAAACTTTCCTTGGGAAAAAGAAAGCCTACTTCTGGTTTGGAAGTTGTAATGTTATATGCATACACATGAAGAATTATCAGGAAGATGAGTAGCCTAAGGGTCATTTATAAACACCTATCACCAAAGTAACTAAAAATAAGTTACACCTTACTTGGGAAGAGACCAACTTTCTGTTATTTTGCTTTAGGTGGTAAATTAGGCACAAGTCTCAGTTTTCCTTTTGTCAATATAAGATTTTGTTAGTCAGTGGCAAACTTTTCAAAAGGAAGAAAAGGTGATAGAAGCATATCTTTACTCATTCAGAAAATGTAATTCAGTAAAATCTGAGAGATAATTTTCCCTTTTTTGTATTAAATTTTAAATAATTTATTTATGATGAGATTTACAGATTTTTTTCCTGGCAAATGTTATAATGATGCATTTTTCAGGGCAATTACATCATAGTTTAAATGTCTGTCAGCTAGCTACCAAGATATTCCTTTGCCATTCCATTAGAGTCAAATTAAGATAAAATTAACTTCTGCAACAACAACAAAAAAACTCTTTTGGTAAATTAGCCCCTTTTATTTAATTTAATAAAGCAGTTAAAAAAAAAACAAAGTATTCATGTTAGTAATACCAGATTACATATTGTCACTTTTAAATGACAAGATAATTTAGAACTACTTCAAAGTGTATTGATCAAATATGATTAAATCTTCACTCTGAGAAGCAATTATATATAAGTATATTAGAAATCTGCTCTTTCAACTCTGTTCAAGACTTAAAACAGACAAGAACTCACCGTTGCTCCCTAAATAACTTTATATGTATCCCTGGTTGCTATGGTAGTTTACAACACTTAAAACTATCAAATATAATATGGTTAGTGCTCACAGTCATAGAGAAAACCACACAAAACATTAATTTCCCAAAGATGAGCATATAGTTATTAACAAATAATGTACATGGTATACTCAAATCTACTGTAAAGACACATCAAAACTGACTTCTGAATTTTGAACCTTTGTTTTTAATGAGTATACAAACCTACAAATAAAATACAGAACTGTTTTTCTGATTTATTTGTAAAGCTTAAAAATTATGATTTTTGTCTTCACCTTCCCTTCCCTGTGTATGCACTGATCCTGAGATATTTCTTCTTTGCGAGTTCAAATACCACCAAACATGAAGTTTTTAAACTGCAATTTAAAATTTATAAAGAAAAACACTGGAAGTTACACTTGGTTGGGTTCTATTCTGCCCCAAAATGTACAATAAATGAGTCAAACATTTGTTTTAAAAATTTCTCATTGTCCTATTCAGAACATTTCTGTATCACCTGAGATGGAAAGGCTTTTGAGAGATGATGATATATTATATTGCAGGTTGATGACAAACAAGCAAAATACTTTATCAGCACATTTAAAGCTGTAAAATTCGTGAATTTTCCCCCCAGAATCCTATAATTGAATTTACTTCTAATTATCATCTATTTGGCAAAGTCCTTAACTTTAAGAGTGGGATTTGGTTTTCCAGTAATCATGTAAATAAACACAAAGTAAATTAATCTTTATCATTTTTTAAGGAAATTGCAAAAACTTCACCGCCAAACAAAATCTATACTTTTTTTTTTTTAACTATTTCACAACTGGTGCAAATCTTTTTTTTTTTTTTTTTTGGTGCAAAATCTTATTTGTTTGTTCTCCACTCCCCTACCTCCCCCTCCCATCTCCGTTTTAAGTTTCTTATTATTTGGTGATTGTTTAAAAACAACCCCAAGCAGCTTCATGAACTTTTTATGCTAAGTATATGCTTGGAAATCTCACCAATATAAATGTAGGAAATGAGTCTTGGGTTACCCACTTGGGAGAAATCCTTAGGTGTGGATCTAGAATGGGAAAATTACAGGGAGGTTCCTGTGGGCGTTGAGAAAGTTGGGAGGACTTAAGAAATCTCACCTTTTGAGCTGCTTTGGAGGGACTCTTGTTTTTGCTGCCTTTGGGTCTTCCCCTTGGTCTCTTAGGAGAGGGCTCACCGGTTGGCTCCTAGTTTCGAGGGAAAAAAAAAATGCTGTTGTGGCAAGAATGTCTGAAAGAAATTGACCCTGACTCTATAGATATATTTTCTGCCTGTGCTGCTCAATAGAACTGTTGGAACATTCAGTTCAAGCACAAATGGATGATGCTGGTACAAAGTTTACAGAAAGGGGAAATAACTATACTTTTAATCCAGGGATTAAAAGAGGAAATTCTATTTTGCATATGAAAACTCGATTCTATTTCAACCAGAGAAAGGTAACAAAGGCTGACAAGGTTGCATGTTCCAGAAAGAAAGTTATACATCCTTAAAGTGCAAAATATGCAAGGCTGTGTATTTGGCAACTCAGAGAAATAATAAGCATTTTACACAAATACTTCTCTCCACTGTACCACCATTTTAAACAACAGAAATATGAAGCTAACATCATAAATATTTCAACAATCTCCCATATTGAAAAGGTGGCTTTTGATCATTCTGTATATCTGCACTGTAAGTCAATTATGACTCAATCAACACATTGAGTGAAATATTGGAGCAATTATCCAACTTCTTCAACTTAAAATAACTCCATTCCTCCTAAAATTTCCAAATAATTAGGGTAACTCCGTTGTGGAAGGCTTTGCTAGAATTATCTAGATAATTGCTTCAATTCTTCACTTCCCTTTGGAGATGCAGGCATGGTCTCCAGTCTACATTTAAGTATCTTTTGATAAAAATGAGCATTTTTTTCAAAAATTTCTTTTGGGAAAACCCTTATGGGGGTGGACCGAAGGAAACTAAAAGGGGTGGGGGGGGGGTAGTGAGGAGGAATGCAAGTGTCTGGGAAGGAGAAATTGAAACTATCAATAGGTTTAGCAAAACTTTAAATGGCTTCTATGCCAAGTAGTAAATACTCAAGTGGTTAAGAGAATGCGATGATTAATATTCCAGATCCTAAATATTTATCCAGTGAATCATCAATTTACATTTCATTCAGATTCGGTGATTAAATGAGACTAATTAGCTTAAAATGCATTAAAGTCTTCAATGAAAATTCGCATCCTATCTAGACAATCTGGGAAAGGTTTCCTGCAAGCTTCTGTGGGACCACTAGCGCCAGTGGGCACATCCGGAGAAACATCGGAGACACATTTTTCTTTCTTTGTGAACTCTGCCTTAACTCAAAGGTAAAACCTTCAATCACCTCCAGACCCCGCTGCAATTTTACTTGGATTATTTTTCGGAGGTGGGGGGCAATTAGAGTTTGAGAAAGCTGGGTGGCGGGTGGGAAACAAGGGCGGGGGGAAGGGCAGTGACTTCCTGGGAGGTGTAAAATAGGATCCTAACGCGGTGTAAAGTGTCGCTCGGGCAGAGCGGGAAAACTCTGGGGCCTCTAGATTGGCTTGTTTCCTTTGATGATTTCAAAAAGGTACAACAGCTTTTCTAAAAAGCACTGGCAAGCAAACATTGTTCGGTTTCCCCACCTTGCTCTAGGTAGCTTTGGGACTCTAGGATTATTTTCTACCCGGCTCGTTTGCCCTGAAAGAAGCGCTTTAAAGCTAAAGAACGTAGAAGTAGTTTTAAAGCCCGCGGAAGCGGAGTTTAAATGTTCTCAATAGACAAGTCCCGCTCGAGCCCTACCCGCGAAAGCTTGGAAATTGCCGCGAACAAAACCCCTCCGCCCTGGGCGCTGCGCGCAACTCTGCAAGCGCCGGCTGCACGCTTAATTGGTTGCATCCGCAGACAAAACCCTCCACTCGGCGGGGTCCCGGGCGCCCCTCGATCGTCCCCTCCCAGCCCCCAGCCACTAGTTCTGCAGGGGTACATTTAATAACTGCAGTGCTGAGGCGCGGGATCTGGAAGCAAAAGGGGGACTGGGCGCCTGGTGAGGAAGTGACCCTAGCTACCGTGCACCCTCTTGGACACTACTTTCCACTGCGCCCTTAGCCAAACAGTTAATCCTGTCCCGCGGGGACGCAGGATCTCCTGCAGCCCCTTTCCTGGGACACCTCAGCAGCGGCGGCCGCAGATCGGACGCCGCGCCGCATTTAAAGAGCCCTAACAGAACCGGGCGGGCCCACGAGTTCTTTGTCGGGAGGGCGCGAGTCTCAGGCCACCGAGAACTTGGGGAGGGCGCCAAGGGGGCGGCTGCGGCGCGCCAGTTCCCGGCCAGCGAGCGGTCCGGGTTGGCGGGAGAAAGAGCCTCCGGCCCCCAAGACTTCAGCCCCTCCAACCCTGACCCGCCAGAGGACCCCTGTCTCCTGGGCCACTGTAAAGCGACTAGGAAAGTGCTTGGCGAGTCCCGGTTTGTCGGACCCGGCCGTTTCCCGTCACCAGGAGACAACGCGCCACTCGGGCCCGGCACAATAGCGAAAGTCCGAGGACGCTTCGCCCGACCCCACCTCCTGCCCGCACCCGGCCGCCCGCCGCGGCTCCCACCTCCCGGCCCGGAGGGGAGCTGGGCTCAGCCGCGCACTCGCGCCGCGGACTCCGCAGCCCGCCCCCGCGGCGGCGTGCGGCAGCCGCGGCGCCTGGACTCCCGCGCTAGGGTGGCCGCGCGTCGCGGGGCCCGCGCGGAGGTAGCGGAGGTGGGCTGCTGCCCGCACCCCGCCCGCGTACTGACTTGCTGCTGCTTCCTGGGTCGGCCGCGTCCTCTCTTCTGAGGCGCCGGGGCGGCAGGTTGTCCCTGGGCTGAAGTGGACGGCTGCCCGGCGCCTTCACCGCGTGCGCTCATCCTGCCTCCCGCCGCCGCTACCGCTGCCGCCGCCGCTCCTACCGCCGCTGCAGCCGCTTCGCCTCTGCCGCCCCGAATCAGCCCGGCACCTTTCGGGAGATGGCGAGGTAGGGCTGGAGAGTGAGGCGGGGTGGGCGAGAGCTGGCGTGCGGCGAGGGTTGCTGCTGCTTAGGCTGCCGCCGCTGCCACCATCAACACCGGACGTCCAGCGGCTGCCAAAAAGAGAGAAGAGGGGAGGAGGAGGAGGAGGGAAGGAGGCGCTGCTGGTGGCGGCGGCAGCGGTGGGTGGGTGCCGGAGGTGGAGGTGGAGGTAGTGAGAGGAGGGAGAGCGGAGGAGAAGGAAGAGAGGAGTCGAAGTCGGGAGGCTCCCCTCTCCGTTTGGGATCAGAAGTTGCGGTCAGCGGGAGCACTTCGGAAGCGGCTTGGAAAGGGAAGAGACTTGGAGTGAATTGTGTCCCTTGAAATGTTAGGCGGGGAAAGAATTCCTCCTCCTCTTCCCCCCCGCTCCGCGCTCGCAGAGCAAGAAAGAGAAAGAGAGAGAAAACAAATAGCGCCTTGGGCAGTCGGAAAGCGAAGGGAGGATGGGGAGATTCTGCGGGGATCCGGTCGGGCACTGGGCGCAGGCAGGGCACGGAGCGGTGGGTGGCACCGTTCCTTCTCGGGTGGCGGGAGCGGGCGGCAGCGGCACCGGAGAGTCGGAGGGGGACGGGCTGATTGCTCCTGCGTCCTGCACCAAGCGCGCGCTGCCCCGGCTGGAAGTTTTCTGAGTTTCTACCCCAGGATTCGAGCGGGTTGAGTGTGTGTGTGCTTGGGGAGGGGGCGGCGAGATGGGGGGAGTGCCCACCTCTAACCGTGGGCGGATGAAGGGGAGGGGGCTGCTCTGGAGGAAAAGTATGAGGAGGAGGGAGGCCAGGCAGACCGCCGAGCCAAGGCGCCTGGCCGCGGGCCAGAGGCAGTGTTCGAAATACAACTGCCTCCGCGGCGGCGGCGCCCGGGTGCCACCCGGAGCCCCGCTCACGTGCTCCCGCCTCACGGCGGGGTTAAAGGGACAGGCCGGGAGTCCCGGGCCGGCTCGCCGCGGGCCTAGCCCCGCCCGCCGCCCGAGGTCGTTCCTGGGCGGCTGTCCTAGAAAGGCGCGGGAATGTGGCTGCCCCGGAGCCGCGTTTGGGGCTTGGCCTTTACCTGCACCTCCACGATGCGGAGCCAGCACTCGGCAGGAAGCGTCTGGCTGCACGCGCGCAGAGTTCTAGTTTCCTGGGAGTGGGGATCAAATGAAGGGGAGTAGGAACAGGCCCCCGCAGCCCTGCTCTGCGTCGGAATGCCCTCCTCGCAGACTGCACGACCCATGGAGAACGCGCGCGCGCGTACACACACACACACACACACACTTGCTCGCAGATCCACACACGTGCACTTAGATACACGTGCACACTCCCACAGACACATGCAGGCATAAATACATGTAAACAAACACGCGCGCACTTATGCACACATACACGCAGAAACACATGCACTTTCGCACACATGCACACTTGCAAACAATGTGCACATAGGCACACTAGCGCACCAGCCTCCACTGAGCGTTTTTCTCCGGGAAGGGCTAAAGGCGAGTGAAACCTCCCTTCGACTGGCTCTATGCATCCGGCTTCCAGCGCTCTCAGGGTAGAGGAGTTGCCTAACGAGGGGACCTCATGCTTCCTAACTCCACGATTGCGCCAACTGTCCAAGTCTCCCTTCAGTTTACCTCGATTTAACCTTCTCCCTAGGAACTCCCTTTCTGCCAAGTCCTAATTTTATAGCCTGGGCTGTTTCTGAGTTATGTGAACACCATAATGACCCCAGTCCGTTTTGAAAAAGGTGGAGTACATTTAAAAATGTACCTCTTTTCATCCTTGAATAACAAAAAACTGAAAAAATTAGGTTCAGATTTTCACACATCACACCCAAAATTATTTTGGGCCAATTCCAAAATTAAAACTTTTACTCGAGGAAGATTTTTTTTCTTTCCCCAAAATACAGACCACCGTGGAATTAAAAAACGCCTACTTTACAGCCCTAAGTAGGGAGTTAGGTACCGCCAGGTTCCTCTGTGCCTGTGGAGGGGGCGCGTGTAAATGTCTGCTTCTGGCGCGGCGGCGCTGATTGGTCCGCGTTGCCATTTTAAATCCATTTCCAGCTGCCTTTTGCAGAGCTGGGACACTTAGCTGCATATTGAGTGCCCTGCAGAAACCCAGGGTTTCTCCTGAGTCTGGGAACGCTTAACTGTGATGGAGAAGGAGAGCCCCCATCCCTCCGGATGGAGCCCGGCAGCTGACTGGGGAGGGAGGGGTCTAACAGGAACCTAAGATTTTCTGCCAGGGCTTGGCTGAAAGATGGTATCTTCATCAAAGAGATTGAAACTTCACGTCCTAGCGATTGCAGTGACATTTCCTAACTGCCAAGTTTGCACGTATTTTAATGTGATCACATTCACACAGTGGTGTGCAGTTTACCTACACATACACAATGGGCTTCTGGGGTTTTTTTGCTTGGACTAGAGATAAAATTCTGAGGATGAATGTAGGAGAAATCACCGAAGATTTCAGCCAGCCATTTATAAAGTTGGGTACATCATATCCTTGGATTAAAAAAAAAAAAAAGAGCAGGCAAGGAAGGGATTCCAGAATTTTATTTTTGCATTAATCCTTGACTCTAAGAACAGCACTGAAAAAAAAATGGGGGTGAGAACCACTTATTTTTGGACCATTGTCACTTTGCTATCAGACTGCTTGACCCTTTTTGAATTTATAATCAGAAGGATAGGAAACAAATATTGTGTGTAGCAGTTTTATATATTTTCATTCCTGGAAGCTATACTTACGTTTTTTTTCCAGTTTCTATATGTTTTCTGTCCCCATTTCTCAACTGAGAGGATTTTAGGATAAATCTGAGATTTTAGGATAAAATCTCTGAGGGTTCTTCCAACTCTAATAGACTTTTTAAATGCATCATATCTTGTTCTCTAATTGTGTCTTGTCTGTAAATTGGAAGTAAATTTCATGGGGAGAGGTAGTATTTCTAACACCTGTTTTTTGCACCACTTGTATATAGGTAGTATTTAGTTCATAATAGACTTTTGTTCATAATAGACATACTCATTTACTATTTTACAAATGTACCATTTGTAAAGAATTACATATATTAAAAGAACAAAAGAGAAAAGCATTACATATATTAAAATATCTTCAAAATTATTCAGAATAATAAAAATTATTCTGATTAAAAGAAAATGCATCTGTGATGAAGGTATTGAAATTCTCACATTGTACTTTATCAAATATTAACCTTTAACATATTCACAAGTTAAAGAATGATTAAAGGATTTTCTCAGATTGTAACTGATTGAATTAATCCGGTATGTATTTTATACATAATAAACCGGAGATTTATTAAAACAAGATACTTTGGAAGTATATCTATATAGGGTCACAGAAAAAATTGTAATTAATGTTTATTGAATATGATGTATAGCATATATTCATACACATGCATACATGAATATACATATATATATATGTATATATATACATATGTTCAGTATATAGAAGATCAGTATAGCACAGGGCAAACGCATAGTTCTGAAAAAGACTTCCAGTGTTTTAACATGAACTTATTTGCACTGCTCAAACTCACAGTTTTAGTGATCGTGCCTTTTAAAAGATGTTTAGTGTTTAATGAAATGTAAGAATGTAAGAGTTTTCCTACAGTATCACCAAGAAAGAATATACACTACTAAGTTGGCATTTTGATGGGGGTAGGTGAGGTGGTGGTTTGGATAGGCTTTCAAGTCCTGTAGACAGAGGATCACCAAACAAAATTAATTTGTTCCCTCGTTCACTTAACGAATATATGTTGAATTGGTTTGGCAGTAATCTCACCTCTTATTCTCTCAGGACCCAGGGATGTAATTCATTCAGAACTGGAGAGACGCTTTGAAAACAGCTAGGTGCTCATTTAAAATCTATTTACCTGCTGGTAAGTCTCTCATTTACTCTCATAAATACTTATTCTCTTCTGTCCAATACATAGGTCCTTCAACAAACATTTATTGAATACCTAAAAGTGTGAGGATTCTCAGAGCATTCTTTTTGTCAAAAGTCATAGAAGTGGAACAGAGGTGGCATAGCTTCATTTGCACAGCTCATCTGTTAACATTATAGCCCCAGGCTTGGTCTCGGTATACTATCTAGCAGCTCTTCAATCAGATATAGGAATGGTTACCACCCTGGGGTGGGCTTTCCCGGTGGCTCAGCCATAAAGAATCTGTCTGTAATGCTGGGGGTGCAGGAGATACAGCTTCAGTCCCTGGGTCGGGAAAATCCACCAGAAGAGGAAATGGCAACCCATTCCAGGATTCTTGTTGGGAAGATCACATGGATAGAGGAGCCTGGTGGGTTACAGTCCATAGGGTCACAAAGAGTTGGACCCTGGTATATGTGCTGTGTATAATCGATGTATAATTTGATGGCTTTTACTCCCAAGATTAGATTTTGTTAGATGGTACAGTTGACAAGTGGGAATTTGCTGTATGATGCAGGGAGTTCAAACCTGGTGTTCAGTGACAGCGTAGATAGAAGGGTGGGATACGGTAAAAGATGGGATGGAGGTCAAAGAGGGAGAGGATATATGTATTCCTATGGCTGATTCATGTTGAGAGATGACAGAAACTAACAATATTGTAAAGCAATTGTCCTGCAATTTTAAAAAAAGATGAATTATCCTAATGAGCATGACCTTATCGTATGTGTACTTTTAAAGCAGAGCATGTTCTCTAGCTAATTTTAGGAAAGGAAGTTAGAGGTTTAGAGCTCAAGGATGATTTGACTGTCAGGGTGGGATACGGTAAAAGATGGGATGGAGGTCAAAGAGGGAGAGGATATATGTATTCCTATGGATGATTCATGTTGAGAGATGACAGAAGCTAACAATATTGTAAAGCAATTGTCCTGCAATTTTAAAAAAAGATGAATTATCCTAATGAGCATGACCTTATCGTATGTGTACTTTTAAAGCAGAGCATGTTCTCTAGCTAATTTTAGGAAAGGAAGTTAGAGGTTTAGAGCTCAAGGATGATTTGACTGTCCACTACCTGTTCAGATATGGAGAGGACACATCACAAGGTGAGCAAGGGACAGCTAAGATCTGAAGGCAGCCTCAAGCTAACAGCCAGCCAAGAAACGGGGACCTCTGTAAAACCACTAGGAGCTGAATTCTGTGAGCAAGAATGAGCTTGGAAGTGAATCTTCTCCGGAGCCTTCAGTGAAAACTCAGGGGTCGCCCTGATTCCATCCTTGTGATACCCGTCCTGCAGCAGATAACCCAACTCTACCTGCTTTCTGACCTACAAAACTATGAGCTAATAAGTGGGTATCTTAATGATCTGTAAAGTCATTAAGTTCGTGGTGAATTACTGTGCAGCAACAGAAAACCCATACAGGAGGGATCAGGTCGGGTAAACTTCCCTTTCCTCCCTCCATCCCACGGATTGCTTCAAAAAACACACAATTACTCATACAGTTGTCTGGAGACCACAACCCAAGTAGTTGCGCCACACCTACCAAGCCACCCAGCCAACTTCTGTACGTCTTTGGGCTTGTAGTGAAGCAATGGGCTAGCACGGAATCGCATGATCTGTGCTATTTTCCATCCTTTCTTCTTGCCCTCTCTCCGCCTCCCCTGCCCCCACCTCAGTCTCAGTACCTTGGAATTCCTGAAGCCACCATACTGGTGAGACTTGGGGAGAGGTCATACATTCATATAATTCCCAATCCCCTCAAACCTGGGCCCTAAACCTCCCCTAACTAATGAGAGCAGATCAGAGAGGAGAGACCCCTGCTGAGAGCTGCCCCAGATGCACTTTTATAAGTAAAAGAAAAATGTTTTTATTCTTCAGCCACTAAATTTTGAGGTGGTTGGTTACATAACCATAGAAAGTAGCCCATCATATTTTCCTCTAAAGCTGATTTTTTAAATTAACCAATTAACAAGCTCAAATGAGTGATTTTCTTAGCTAGAAATCACTCTTTAGCTGGGAATCACTCTAAATCCTTCCCTTCCCACATCAAGTGATTACCAAGTCTGTCCAG